ACTGTTATAGTCTGGGCTGGGGATGTGGCTCAGTGGTAGAGCACCTGCCTGGAATGTGAGAGGTCCTCGGTTTGATCTCCAGCAGTGCAAAAAAAAAAAAAAAAAAAAAAAAACCACACCACCACCACAACAAAAGAATATCCTATTCTATTATTATTTCCCTATTTTGAATCAACATCCACCCCTAAAACTGTGGGCACAACCCCAAGATAATAGGAGCAGTGTTTGTTTTAGAGGGCCTGCTTTTCTGTGAGAGATGATGACATTCACTTAGATTCTCTCTAAGTATTAGGAATATGGCCTTGTTGTCTCAACTGATGGCCATTTATGACTAAAAAATACTTTTCTTAGTCAATGATAAACATTCTCCCTAAGAAATGACTGAAAAAACAGCTGACCTTGAAAACTTCACAACTGTTTACTTTATCGTAATGTTACCATTGTAGTTTTAAGTAATAGAAATATCTTGTTAGAAATGATGACATATAATTGAAAGAATTCATGTTCTCATCGTGCAAAAGAAGACTTATCCCACTTAACTGTTTTGTATTTTTATTATTGAAAGCTATTAAATTAGAGGTTATCTGGAAGGGCAGCAATCACAAACAAGAAAATGCTGTCCAGTCTGAAGGATTTCATCCTAAGAAAGTATTAGACAGGCCTCATGTGGCCCTATGGAAGTGAATAATACTGAAAAGTTAAATCTTTTAAATTCAGCTACATTTTCCCTTGCTAGTAATATTTTATAAAATCCTGTGTTGTCTAAATGATTCAAGTTCCAAGATGAATTGGCCTTCACTTATTTTTAGTACTGGGGATTTAAACCAGGGGTACTTTACCACTAAGCTGCACCCCAGACCTTTTTTATTTTGAGTCAGGGTCTCACTAGGTTGTTTAGGGCTTAAGTTACTGAGGCTGGCCTCAAACTTGTAATCTTCCTGCCTCAGCCTCATGAGCTGCTGGGATCATAGGCTTGCATTACCATGCCCAGATAAATTGGCCCTTACTGAATAAGTAACTTCTCATTGTTCAAAGAGCAAAACAAAACAAAAACCTTTGCCAATTATTTGCACTCTCCAGGTCCCTCTCTCTTTTTTTCTTTTTCTTTCTTTCTTTTTTTTTTTTTTTAAGGTACTGGGGATTGAACTCTGGGCTTCAAGCATATTAGCCAAGCACTTCACCGCTCATCTACACCTCCAGCCTTTTTTATTTTATTTTGAGACAGGGTCTTGTTAAGTTGTCCAGGCTAGTCTTGAACTTGTGATTCAGCTTCCCGAGTAGCTAGGATTATAGGTGTGTGTCACCATGCTTGACTCCCTTATCTCTCTTTCTCTCTTTGGTACTAGGGATTGAACTAGGATTGAAAGTAAAGGGCACTTTACTCCAGACCTTTTTTTTTATTTTTTATTTTTTTAATTTTGAGACAGGGTCTTGCTAAATTGCTGAGGTTGGCCTTGAACTTTCAAAGATGCTGGGATCACAGGTGAGTGCACCTCAGGCTCTCCCTTATCTCTTTGTTAAAAGCTTTTCTGAATTGTGTTTGTTATCTAATCTCCATGAATATTTCTGGTGTATGTAGTGGGTTAGAATGGGCATTCAAACTACATGTGAATTCTATCCTTCTTGCCTGCTCCAAAGAACATGTGTCTATCCTGTACCCACTCAGAGTGCTGCCGGGGGGAGGGGGGGGGGGAAATCCTAGCGACTTGTGGCCTGATATTTTCAATAGGAAAATAAGGTGCAGGATCAGGCCCTGGCAGCTTCTTCTAAAAATGACCAAGTCTTTAGATTATAGAGTCAGACACCATACCCTGTTCTCACCCTTACCAGACAACTCTCACATTTCCCTGGGACCTAATAATGCTTTCAGGGAAAGCTGCAGGACATGAAAGCATGGCAGAGACTCTAAGATAAGTAGTTTTGAACTGTGCTTTAACTATAAATTTTATTGGGAATAAAACAATGATATAAATCATCTGCAAATCTGGGGTCTCATATAAGCTAGGGAAATGCTTTATTTCCCAGTCCTAACTGCACATAAACCTGAAGCTTCTGTGTTTGGTGCTATTAGTGATATGAAATGGGTTCACTTTCCATGTATTTTACTATGTTAAATGTCAAGTAAGAAAAAAGAATGTCAAGAATATCCTTGAAACAGAACTAAAAATTGTGTTAATGACTAAATTTGACAGATAGCAAGATTTTAATCCTTTCATGTTTTTCATGTTCTAAATCAGTTTAAAAGTTTGAAAGGTGCTGCCTAGAGCAGAAATATATGACCCCTTTGAAGCCACATAATGTCTTCATGAAAAATATGCAGACTCTCCACCAAGCACTAATCCAGGCAAACTAATCAGAGCAAAACTGATGCATGGTTAACAATACATTTTAAAGGATTGGTTATTGCAACTAACCATAACAATTCACATTTATTGGGCACTACCTTTGTTGCAAGCACCATTCTAGTTACCCCTTCTTATATCATCTCATTTCATCTTCATAATTACCACCTGATTAATTAGGATCCCCATTTCACAGGCATAGAACAGTGAGGATAGGGGCTCACAAGAAGATAAGAACTTCCGGCTAGTGAGTGGGGAAGCTAACATGAAACCCTATGATTTCTTTTGGTTCTGGGATTGAACCCAGGGGCACCATACATCCCCGGCCATTTTTATTTTTTTATTTTGAAGGTCTTGCTAAGGTACTGAGGCTGGTCTCAAACTTTTGATTCTCCTGTCACAGCCTCCCAAGTCCCTATGATTATAGGCATATGCCACCATGCCCAACTAGAAACCCTCTGATTTGAGTGGTTCTGCCTCAACTCCCTCTGTATACTGTTCCTAATGATAATGTAAATATTGTAGAGTGAGGTTAAAGATGGAGATGGCAAACATTTTCATAAAATCCTCATTTTTGATGGTTTGCTATCTAGATCATATATGACCTTCAGGATGACTGAGGTTTATTCCCATTTTAATTATAACTTCTACCATAAAATATCAATCTCTGATGGGAAAAGTATGATATTTCACCTTCTGGCAAGCAGCACAGGAATAAGCCCTATCTCCATCACATTTTCTTTTTTGAAAGTTATAAAAATAGCATTCCAACCAAGTGTGGACATGTTCCAATATCTACTCTTCCTCAGTTGTATACTTTTAAATTAGACTAATGGTGCCTGGCATGGTGGTGCTGTAATCTCAGCTATCTGGGAGGTTGAGTCAGGAGGACTGCAAGTTCAAAGCCAGCCTCAGCACCTTAGCAAGACCCTGCCTCAAAATAAAAAATAAAAAGGTCTGAGGATGTGGCTGAGTAGTTAAGTGCCTCCAGGCTCAATCCTGGCACTGAAAAAAATAAAATGTCTAGACTGATGGTTGTTAACAGTATGAATTTTGAGAAAAAGTAAAATTTGTTTCGGCAGATCAAAGAAAGAAATATACCTGAATCAGAAAGTACTGTTTTAAAAATATTCATTTGGATATTCTTTTTTTTTTTTTTTTTTGGTATTGGGGATTGAACCTAGGGGTGTTTAACCACTGAGCCACATCCCAGACCTTTTTTATATTTTATTTAGAGACAGGGTCTTGCTGAGTTGCTGAGGACCTTGCTAAGTTGCTGAGGACCTTGCTAAGTTGCTGAGGCTGGCTTTGAACTCAGGGTCCTCCTGCCTGAGCTTCCTGAGCCACTGGGATTATAGGTGTGTGCCACTGTGCCTGGCTCATTTGGATGTATATACCCTATTGGCAGTTTAATCAAAAGAATTAAAGTAAAAATAGTTGAAGGAGTCATTTAGTGAAGAATCACAAGCAAATTTCCTAAAGGATATAATACTTTACACCCAGTCCATTGCTTAGTTCCTGGCATCCAGTGGGGATCAATAATGCTAGCCCATCATTAGGAACATACAGATATTTTAAGATGGAGACCCAGGCTTCTGTGTTTCTCCTTATTAGAAAATTCTGCTGGGTGTGGTAGTGCATGTCTATAATCCCAGCTCCCTGGGAGACTGAGGTTGGAGGTCAGTTTGTGAGGCCCTGTCTCAAAATAAAAAATCAAATGGGCTGGGGATGCAGCTCCATGGTAGAGTGCTTGTCTAGCAACGTGTAAGGCTCTGAGTTCTATCCCAAGGCTCATACACAGACAAAAAAGAAAATTCTAGGTAAAATATTATACAATTTGACTGCACTTAAAAAATTGAGATTCATTCAATACTGGTTATAATAGGGAGAAAGTATTTTTATATTTTTCAGAGGTACTTAAAGTATAAATGGTCTAGTAAATCTTAGTAGGTCTTTGCAGCAAGGTATTAAGAAATTAAAAAAGAACATTTCTGCTTTCTAACTAAAGATTTAAGACCTTTACTATAATTCTCTAACTTGCAGTATGAGACCAAACAGGAAAACTGTAAGTTCTAGGCATTTTGTTATTCTGTTTAGGTTCACACTGATCTCTACACTGAAGGGAGCTATTTAAGATTCAGAAATGTCTCTAGGTTGTGTCCCAGAGAAGTGGCAGTCTCAGGGACAAGCCCTGGCACAGAAGAGGAAGCACAGGAAGTGGAGGCAGGCAGACATGACTTGAATCCTAACAGCAAATTACTCGTTGTATAATTAACTTTCTTAAGGTTCACTTTCTTCATTTGTAAAATGGGTTTAATACCTTGAGGGACTACAGCATAGATCAGGGAATGCAGGCACGCATACACATATCCACTCCATCTGGCAGAATGTCTAAAGTCCAATAAATGGTAGAAGTAATTATTATTAGGATAAGCTCTGCTCTGGAAATAAAATATATAGTCCTATACTAAAAACACTCTGGAAAAAAATATAATCGAGGTGCAACACCCCTGCAACTCTTCCAGGCTTAGGACTGGATTTGGAATATTACCTGCACCCAGTTGAAGAGATACAATAACTTGATATATTAGGTAAAAAGAAAGATGCAAAAGTCAGGGCAAGGAATGGAAGCATGAGGAAACAGAGGCTGGAACTTACTTCGCTCTTCTCTGTGTCTCTCTGTCTGTGCAAAGTACTGGCGGAGCTCGTCGGTGATTTCCATATTGCTCAGGTCACATTCTACCTCCTCGTCTGACTCCGACTCCATCTCTTCCTCTTCAAACAATGCTTGATCTTCTCTTGTAGGTGTCTGGCTCCTACTGTCACATGGAGGCTGTCCAGACCTTCTGTTGGGTGTATAACTGTGGTAGGAGTCTTGCCAGGCCACATGATGGTCATAGAATGACTGTGGATATCCACCCTCATTGTCATAAGAGCTTTGGGGAAAACCTGCAGAAGGGAAGTACCATGGGAAACTGAAATAGGATTCCACCGCCTTCCTGTAGGCATTCTGGTGGCTTCGCATCCAAGCCATCGCTTGATGGTAATGCTGCCAATATCTTGCGTATACTGGATGACAATACCAAAGCTCAGTAGTTTTCGATGTCGATGCCTACAAAATGAAGGCAAGCATAAGACAGCCACCAAATGGCACATCCTCAAGAGAAATCTTCAAACATTTAATCAACTAAGCAACAGACATTACTGAGTATTTATTAAATACCTACTCTACATGAGGCTGTTACTGGGCCCAAAAGGGCATAAGATAGGTCTATACCTACAACAGAAACCAAGCATATGCACACTTGTTTTCTGCAAATGTGTACATCAGGTACCCATGGGACAATTAGTTCAAAGTTATGGAGGCTTATAATGTGGGAACAGAGGCTAATAATGGTCGTTTTTAAGTAAGATTTAAGGAGAGATGAAATAATGATCGTTTTTAGGTAAGATGCAGGGAAGAGAGAAAAAAACCAACATTTATCATCTTGGCCATCTCTACTAGCTCAAGTTAGAAATGACCTGTCAATTCTAACTGATGATCATGATAGCCTTTGGTTCTTCCTCTTCTGCTTCTTTTTTAACTGCCGATCCAGCTCACTCCTCAATGTCTGGGAAAAGATGTATAGTAATGATGGTGCTTTTAGTTTTCTTTCTTTCTTTTTTTTTTTTTTTTTGGTACTGGAGATTGAACCCATGGGTGCTCTACCACTGGGCTACATCCTCAGTCCTTTCTATTTTTTTACTTTAAGACACTAAGTTGCTTAGGGCCTTGCTAAGTTGCTGGGGCTAGCCCTGAACTTACAATCCTTCTGCCTCAGCCTCTCAAGTAGGTGGGTTATAGGTGTGCACCACAGTACCCGGCTTTGTTTTCTAATGTACACAGTGAGTATCCTTTATCCAAAATGCATGAGACCAGAAGAATTTCAGATTTTGGTGTTTTTTTGGATTTTGGAATATTTACATAGATGTTACTGGTTGAGCCATCCTGATCTAAAAATCCAAAATATGAAATACCCCCAAATTTGAAACTCTTTGAGCATCATGTTGGTGCTCAAAAAGTTCAGGATTTTGGAGCATTTCAGATATTTGGATTTGTGAAGCTCAATCTGTATTTACTCAGTCTTCTCCATCATGGAATAGGAGCATCAAGAATTTAAAGACTAAATTTTTTAAAACTCATATGAAAAAAGGGTAATCTTACCTCTGCAGCCATCTCTGTGAAAGTCCAAATGGGCACTGAAACTAGGAAAAAAACAACCAAAGTGAGAACACGTGATCAGAACAGCTGTGGAATATTTATGGCCTCTTCTTGAATTGCGAAACAGCTCCTGAGAGGCTGCCTTTCTGTAGCACCAAGCCTGCTTTTTAAGCAACATACTTTCCAGACCCTGGCACCTGGGTTATGACCCTGTGGTCTTTGCACAAGAAGAAATTCTTCTATTGGAGACTCAACTGAGGTACCATGTCGATTGCCTTTGCCAAATGGTATTGCTCTGGCACAATTACTTCTTATCCCACTGCCCACCTACTTGTTGTGATTTATTGATTCACTGCAAGAAATACGTAAAGTTTAATCTGTAGCTGCACACTTTTGACAACTTATTTAAAATACATTTAATTTTTTTCCCCTGTTCAGGGTTTGGAGCTATTAAAATGCCAGCCTACACCAGAATGTACTTTTACGAAAGTTAAACAAAAATAGCATTCTCAAATGCATGTAAATTTAAGCTTCTGTGAGACAAACCAATAACAATGTGATACCAAGCAAGTAGCTATTTAGGTTTTAAAACTTTAGAAATCAGATACTGAAGGAGTCCTATTTTTCCTACTTCACTGAACTACAGGGAATAATTTAAAAGTTTCCAGTCTTAAGAAATAAATGTGACTTATTTTGTAATCTCTATCAGACTATTCAATATGGTTATGTTACAAACTAAGATGTCAAATTGATCACTTCTTTTTAAGATTTAGCCTGGGGGCTGAGGTTGTAGCTCAGTGGTAGAGCCCTGGCTTAGCACCACATAGAAATAAATAAATAATATAAAGGTACTGTGTCTATCTACAACCAAAACTATTTAAAGAAGTTTTTTCTTTTTTTAAAAAAAAAGATTTAGCCTAAAGAGAATCATTTATATTCTCTCTTTTTTCCCCCAGTACTGGGGATTGAACCAAAGGATGTTCTACCACTGAGCTCATGCCTAGCCCTTTTGTATTTTTGTTTTGAGACAGTCTTGCTATGTTGCCCAGGCTGGCTTTGAACTTGTGATCTTCTTGCATACTGAGTAGCTGGGATCACAAGTGTGCACCTGGTTCATATTCTTTTAAAATAAAACCAAGCTTTAAAACGGGGTATTTTTAAGAGGACCGAAGTGACTTTCTATAAATTTATCTTAAACATAGCTCATATCTCTTTTTCCCTATCCTAAATTCAGGTGCACAACATGCAATGAATGTAAACTGGGAAACAATTAACAAATAAAATGAAAATTGAATTCACATTACTTTAAAGCTATAATTTAAAGGTATAGAACATGACCAATTACCTGGAAACCTAGCTAATGGCTATGTGCTTTATAGGCTACTGAAAAAATGTAAAAAGTCAATACTTGGGTGTCTTACTACCCAAAGAAATAAAACTAATACAAATGGAATTATGGTAGAAATTAGTACATATCTGAGTGCTAAACTGTAAGGTGATTTTAAGTGTGTAATTCACTAAAGCAATGTTTCATATTTCTATCCTTGAAATCTGAATAGCTTTTGGAGAGCCTGCAGCACATAATGATATTAAAGTGAACTCCATGTGTGCCTTAATCAAATTTGTTTCACAGATTAACAAGTAGCACAGAAATTACATTTAAAAAGTCTAGAAGACATCTGTTTATCTTCTGGAAATTAAGAGTTGTGAATCTAGACTACTTTCCATGCCCTATAAGGCAGTCAGAATCAGGTCAATTATCCTCAATAGGGAAATTAGATAGGCTCAAATATTTATAGTAAACACCATTGTGATGTGAGTGGTGGCACTTGCCTTTAATCCCAGCAACTTGGGAGGCTGAAGCAGGAGGACTGCAAGTTCAAGGCCAGCTTCAGCAACTTAGGAAGGCCCTAAGCAACTTGTTTCAAAAATAAGAAAGTGAAGGAGATGTGGCTCTGTGGCAAAGTACCCCTGGTATCAACACACACACACACACACACAAAAAAAAAAAAAAAAAAAAAAAAAAAGGAAAAAAATTCCCACCACTGTGATTCAACACTACTGCAGACTAAATCCTGTTTTGTTTTGTTTTTTGCACAGTTCTGGGGACTAAACCCAGGTGCTAGTGCATACAAGCCAAGGGCAGTACCACTGAAGTATCTGCCCAGCCTTTTTAAAAGTCTGAGACAGCGCCTTACTACATTGCCCATGCTGGCCTTGATCTTGCAATCCTCCTGCCTCAACCTCCCGAGTAGCTCGGTTTATAGGCATGAGCCACCACAACTGGCCCCAAATATTGTTTTTATTATATCTTGGTAAATCCATTCTGGCATTAAAGGTATTCTGAAGGTTCATGGCCAAGAGAGGCTCCTTAGGCAGAACTAGAGGTTTAGGTATGGTTGATCAGCGTAAACAACTGCTGAAGAGGCTGCTCAATGGCTCTGATTAAAAAGGGGGAAGGAATTGGCCTGGGGTTGTAGCTCAGTAGTAGAGCGCTCACCTAGCATGCATGAGGCACTGGGTTTGATCCTCAGCACAACATAAAAATAAAATAAAACTAAAAAATATTTTTTAAAAAAGCAGGGGTGTGAGTGTGTGAAGGAGTGCCAATCTGAGGAGAGGATGCTTTTAACTTTGATTCAACAGATAATCTGGAAGAAGTGCTGTGATCCATTGCTGCAGAGATTGTCCAGACCCACTCAGCATTTTGGAAGAAAGAAGCCAGGAAAGCCAGCTGAGATGACTGAAGAATTCAGCTTCAGCTTTCCAACCAGCAGTAGTTCAGATTCAGCCAAGGGAGCCCACTATCTATGGTATCTATTAGCAAAGGTACTAGGCCTTTTTTTCTTTTTGTAGAGGGAGGGGATGCTAGACAAGTGTCCTATCATTGAGCCACAAACCCAGCTCAGGTGCTAGATTCCTTTAAGACCCAGGCCATGAAGAAAGATAAAATTATATTAATGATGGAATACAGGGAACACTGTTAGCAATTCTGCTTTTGGGTAACAGTAGCAGAGGAATTAAATTTGCTTTGGCTGCTGGGATACCTGTAATAAAATGTACTGTCATCCTCCAGCAAGTTTAGTATCACTGGGGCTATAGATCCAAAATGCTCATTTCACCCTTGGTTTTAACATTTTCTCTTCCCAAATTCCAAATGCTATTTGTCATATCCTTTTAAATTTTAAGTATTTTTTAAATCCCTAAAATCCTACAGATATTAAAATTAACCATTTTGAATAACTGATTTGAGTTTATAAATTAATCTCTTAAAAATCAAATAGTATTAAGTATAGGAAATCACATCTAAAGGAATAGCAACTTGCATGGAGCTTTATAATTATTATTACCTTGGTATTTCCAGTATTATTTGTTATTTTATGCTAGCATTTTTTTTCTATAATGGTCCAAATAGCAAATATTTTAGGCTTGTGGGGCACATATAATCTTTTCCATATAGTCTTCATATTCATCTTTGTTTTAAAAACAAAATGAAACACCAAACACTACACCAAACAACACTTTTAAAATATATAAAAATAATTGTTAGTTCCTTGGAAGAACAAAAGACAGGCTGTGAGCCATCTTTCGCCCTTCCCCATTTTATGATAACATATTATTAAGTTGTATACTGTGCCCTCAATACATTGAGCATTCTAATTGCTCCCCACTTTCCATTTAGAAACCAGTGGATTCTCATTTCATGAATTATTAGGCTTGGAGTAAGACTAGTAGAAGCAAGAAAACCAAATATCCACAGCAATCTTGGTGACTGATTCATAATATTTTGGGGAAAAAATAGTCCCCATGGCTAAATAAGGAAATGGGGCCATTTCTTAAGGATCTGCGTAGACACTTAGCCAGGCATGGTGGTACATACCTGTAGCCCCAGCTACTTGGGAGGCTGAAACACAAGAGGATTGCAGGTTCAAGGTCACTCTGGGCAACTTAATGAGACTGTGTCTCAAAATAAAATGAAAAGGGTTGGGGATATATAACTCAGTAGCACAGCACCCCAGGGTCAACCTCCAGTACCACAAAAGAATCAAAAGCCCCACAAACTGCAGACATTAAAAACAAAAAATGAACAAAAAACTTTTGCAAAACCATATAAATCCCTGGGGCTTAGAAAGCACTGACAGTGGCATGATTTCTGATGGAGACCCTGCTAACTGCCACTGCTAAACAGGACCACAAAATGACACAAAGCAGGATGGAGTTCTGAGTATCTATGCCCTAGGAGGAATCCATACCCACCTCTGCTGAACACCCAGGTTCATCAGCACCTATCAGTTTGTTTTTAAGGGAACAGGAGAATCTCCTCTGCAAATGGATCCTTTTATATTGAAGCAGGTTATTTTCTCCACCTAGACAGCTTAAGGAACTAAGCAGAATTTTCTTGGTTTCTGAAAAGTCAACATTTAAATAATTCTAGGCATCAGAAAAACACTTCAGACATAGCCATCTCTCAAGGAGAAGGAAGTTTGTGGCTGCAGCAGATTTAGACACCCTTTCAATGTTTTTTCATTTTATCTTTCATCCTCCCCTCCCCAGGTGGCACAAGCCTTGGTGGACTGAACAGCAACTTTTCTCCCAATGGGCTGGTGGGGCTGAGAAGAGATTGACAATGTCAGGGAAGGCCAGGATCCACAGCTCCTCAGACCCAGCAGCTCTTTCCAGTGAGCACAATGGCATAATAGTCACCACCCAGCTGAGCCCCACTGAATATAGAGACCATTCATTGTCTGTCCTCAACTAAGAAGGAAGGAAAACCACAGGGATGGGTTATTCACTAAGCACTGCTGAGGCCTATCAAGACAGAGCCTCTGAAGCTTGAGTGATATATTTCCCAGATGGCCTCTTTTAAAAAAGGCATTTATTCTGCAGTGTATCTGCTTACTCTGGAAGATTATTTATTTATTTATTTAGAGCTGAGGATCACACTCAGGGGCACTCGACCACTGAGTCATATCCCCAGCAATATTTTGTATTTTATTCAGAAACAGGGTCTCACTGAGTTGCTTAGCGCCTTGCCATTGCTGAGGCTGGCTTTGAACTTGTGATCCTCCTGTCTCAGCCTCCCTAGCTGCTGGGATAACAAGCATGTGCCATGGTGCCCGGCTTGGAAGATATATTTTTAAATACACAAATATATATGAAAAACAACAAAGAATTTCATAGTTTTCAATGGATGAAATGTTCCTATTTCCATCAAGTTACTAAAAAAAAAAATTCTACACATAAGTAATGTGGTTTTGTTGAAAGGGAATGGCATCATATATACTTTTTATATTCTTATAAATACAGATCTAGGACATACCATGGCAACCAGATACATAAAATGAAAACACAGATCCCACTCAAAACTATACCCAGTAACTAGATTTCCCTTTCTACCTCATCTCCTTGTTCCACTAGAATTGCGAAAACTAAATATATGAAAACTCATTTGCTTTGACTTTTGCATAGAAACACAGTAAAAGTCAATCATTAAATCATTACTCTGGTCCTGAAGGTTGAACCTTCCTATTAGGATCCCACTGATCTGGCTGAGACAATCAGATAATTCGGGGATCTAATTAAGGTCCTCAGTATACACTGTTCCAAAGAGGAAGGGAGTCCATAGGCGAAGTGAAGGTATGGAGAGAATTTGAATAACATAAATTGAGTCATGTGGCTCTAAGAAATCTTTCTGAACAGGCTAACTCTATCTGGAAGATGTCTTTCAATAAAACACATTGGTATGAACTTCAACTCAGATAAATAAATACAATAGGGATTTGTGAGAGCACTGCTTCCTGCCCCCACCTACTTGGGGAGCCTTGCTGCTACCCCTCACTGGTTGCAGAGGCTGGCAAGTTCCTCTGGCTTGATGCCCTATGGGCTCCCTCCTGTGGCTCTGCATGATCCCTGCTTAGTTATTTGGACATCAAAGATGGCACAAGTCCCAGTGGCCTTGTTTCACCGGCAGGAAGAGTGAAAGCTCCATCTTTTGGCTGGACATGGGCCTGTTCAAAGAACACATGCCACTGTGTTTCAAAACCTACACCTCGCTATGACAGTCACTGTTAAAACTGAGGGGTGAGGGAGTCAAAAAGCTGTTTTTTTTTCTTTTTATTCTCTTAATCCCAAACCCTAATTTAAGTTCTTCGGGATGTTGCACTAAGAAGTTTTGTCAGCAAGGGTGATGGGTTTGTGAATGGATTTATTTGCAAGTTCACTGAGTCCCCATGTGATTGGCATTAGAGCCAGAATGCCACAAAAAAAAAAAAAAAAAAAAAAAAAAAACCAAACCAAAGTTACCTTCTGACTCCTGAGCACAACAGGAAATGGGAGAACTGAAAACTGGGATAACTAAGAAGGATATAATGGTCATAGTTTAAAAAAGGAAATGGTAACTTTGTTACCATTTCCATCATACAGCAAACCTAGAGTGATCATAAAAGAATAAGGGCTGAATAAGCAGGTACAGCAAATTAAGGATGTAGCAGCAAAAACCTTGAACTAGTTTAAAAGTTTGATACCACTTTTCCATTTCCAGGGCCTTATTTCAAATTTACTTCTATAAACATTCATAGTAATTCCATGTTAATTTTTCTCTTTTCTAAATCCATATGATAGTCACTATGCCTCATATATTTGGGACTCAAATAGAAACAGAATTTGCAATTTATTCCTTTTAAATTTCCCACCTTCCTTTCAGCATAAAATAATAGCTAGCATCTTCTGCCCCAGGATACTGTTGTAATTGCTGTTAAGATTGCCCATTTTATCCCTGTAACATTGTTTCTTCTACCTCTACTTCTCCAAATTATTGAGGAACTCAAATAACTGACAATAAAGTCCCATGTCTTTTCAGGAAGCAAATATTTAAATATATTAATGTTTTCGAGATATTTTCAATTTGTCCAACTTTTTTATAGGTGGACTCTCTATTATGGAAAAGTCGTTCAGAGAGCTCTGTATCTAGTTCGTAAACTCTCCAGCTCTAGCCTTAATTGTTAAGTCTTCCTCTATCCTTCTCATCTCACCCTACCCTTAAATGTGGGATCTTAAGAAATATAAATGAATCTTCCATTACCTTGTGAAAATTTTAGAAGAGAATTTCTGTGGAAATTTAGTTTGTATAGTTTTCCAGCTAGCAGTGAACATAGCAATTTATATACCTTATTGTGAATTTGCCTTCAGTTATCTTATCCAAGGGTACTAAAAATCTTTTAAACTGTAGTTTCTGTTCACATAGCCATCCCAAAGGAGCTTTTAACTCTGATAAATTATAATAGTATAAATTGTATTTTTAAAGAGTGTCTGTCCTAAGCCCTACAATTCATGGGAGCTATGCAAGTAAATAACCCTAGAAGACTTGTTTGTATTCTTAATCTTTAATCTAGATTTTTCAAGTAATATTGTTCTGATTTAAGGTGAAAAACACCTGAATACAGAACCTAGCTTGTTAAATAAATTTAGCAATCATTTCTGAAAACAATAAAATTGTTCAGAACCATTTTAACTGTACTCAGGATTTCAGAGCTAAAACTTCTTTGGCCATGGTTCAACTCCACCTCATTATTACAAAGGATAAGTGGGCAAAGGTATTCTCTACCTCAATAGGTAAGGCTCATCAAAGATTGCAGCTGCCAAATGGTCTCAAGATAACTACCACCAAAAACTCCAACCTCCCAGAGGCTAAAGTGCAAGGGTAAAGGAAGAAAAAAAAATTTTTTTTAAGTAGATGGGCCAATATCCTACATATCCTGCAAGGAAATGTCCTGGGCGCTCTTCTATTCAGATATTGGAGTGGATGGGCAAAATCCGAATTCATCTACACAGCTAGCATAACACAGCGATTTCCAGCACATTAAAATCACCTGGGGGAACTTAAAAAAAAAAATTCCCCACATCCGAGCCTCACTTCTAGAAATTCGTATTGAACTGGACTGGGGAGGGGGCCAGGACATCAGAATTCTTAAGTCACCCAGTGATTGGGAAGCACGTCGGAGTTGAGAGCCTCTAGAACTAGTCTTCTCTAAAAATTAACCTGCAATGATTTAGGAATCTCTTGGGCCTCTGGGCCCACCTTTTGCCGCGGGATGCTGATGGTTACAATGTGACCGCCGAACTTCCCCCTGCGCCTAGGAAGGCAGGCCCTGCGGCCATCAGGCTCCTCCCTTACTCCCCCAAAGAAACCCAGCCGACCCGAAGTCACCTCGTGGGCTCGCAGCTTGCAGATCCCGGGTGGTGGGCGAGCAGGGACCTATTTTTCGGTGGGGAGACAAGGATAATGAGGAGGGACTGTTGCCCGGGCAACTAAAACGCGGTTCTGAGGAGGATCCACGTGGCAGTGGCGCGCCGGAAGCCCCGCCCACGCCGTAGACGTCAGGTTCCCATCAAGGGCTACGCAATTCCGGAGGACGGGCGCGGGATGGGAATCAGCTGCGTGGGGTGGAGCTTGGGGATGGCTGGTGACCCGGTTAGAGAACTGAGTGCTGAACCGCGCCCGGGCACCGGAGCGAGGACCGGAACGGGGGTCCTGAGCGGCGGGTCTGCACTGATGTGTGTGGCGGGACGGGAAGGCGAGGGATGCTTTTGCAGGGTCCCTGTGCTTTTAACTTTTTACCCTGATCTCAAGCTCTCATTTTTGTTCCCTTGTCTTTAGCCTTACTTTTTTTCTTTCTATTTTAACCAAAACGGAGGGTGGGAAATAACCTTGTTTTGAAAACAGATTCACATACCTAGGACGTACAGAACCTCTTGTAGGGAGTATTGTAGCAAATAACCAGTACCTGTTATATATATTGTCATCATGATTATCCGCAGAGAAATCCTTAAATAAGCAATAGAAATCAAAGGGACATATCCTTCCTGGGGTAATTTGGCAAAATACAGCAATCCCTAAAAGGGGGAATATTTTGTGAGAATTTATTCCAAGAAAACAACAACAACAACAAAAACAAAAACAAAAAAAACAGGCATGAGTTGGATGTTTATTGCAGACTTATTCCAAAAAGTGAAAATTGCAGACAATCTAAGTGCCCAATAAGAGGAAATGGCTGACTATTAGGCGACCTCAGGAGTGGGACATTATTGTCTTGTTATTTGTATACTATAGAAGAATCAAAACAGAAGAACTCTTGTTTAGCAAATATATACTGGTTGGGTACTATTCTATATCTGCAACCTGTCCACTGGGATGGCCACTAGCCATATGTGGCTGTGAAACCTTGAGATGTGACAGTCTGAATTGAGATGTGCTGTAAGGGAAAATTACACACTGAATTTTTTAAGAAACAATGTAAAATATCTCAATTATAAAAATTAATGATAACACCTTAGGGAAGGACTGGTTAGGCTAAATAAAAGATTAAAATTAATTTAATTTTTAACTTTTTACTTATGTGGCCACTAGAATATTTAAAATTATAGGAAAGACAGTAGAATGAAGCAGACATAACTTTCCTACGCTCATATATGAATACATGACTAGTGTAACGTCACATCATGTTCAACCATGAGAATGGGATCAAAATTGTAATGGGTTGTACCCCGTATGTGTCAAAAAATACCCTACTGTTATGTATATCTAAAAACAAAACATCAGAAATGTTGTATACATTATAATTGGGGAGTAGTATTTTACTTACTGGACATACAATGGTGAATAACTGGTTTTTTTTGGGGGGGGGCATACCACCAGGGATTGACTTCTATAAACATTCATAGTAATTCCATGTTAATTTTTCTCTTTTCTAAATCACTGAGCCACATCCCTAAACCCTTTTTTGAAAATTTTGAGAAAAGAGTTTCTATAAGTTCCTGAGACTGGCCTTGAATTTTCCATCCTCCTGCCCCAGCCTCCAGAGCCACTGGGATTACAGACTTTGTGGACCACACCTGACTTTGAATAATAGTTTTTGACCTCATAAAATTATCAATCTGTTGTTGGGTAAAGCATAAATAATAAGTGAAATAGTACAATTAAATGTTGTGGTAACCTATGAAGAAAGTGTTGTAGAGTATGGGCTGAGGGGGATTGTTTTAGACAAAATTCTTCCTCCACTGTTCAGAAAATGTATGTGGTAGGACACGAGTCCTTTACAGATGGAAAGGGTAGGTTGGGGTGGGGGGTGGAGTGTGGTGTTTTCAGGGAAAAGTAAAAAATGTAATTGAGGCAGGTAAGTCAATTTAGGCCTGGTAGAATATTTGCTACAGGGAGGAAACCAGCATCAAGGGAAGAAGAAAGGAGAAGGGTAAGATAACACGAAGAAAGAGGTGAGGGGACTTCTGGGAAAGGGAGAACAAGACAGACTGAGAGTAAGTATGTTTCAGGCAGAGCAATTATGGGAATACTGTGAATATAAATAAAAGAACACATACATATTGGTTACAATATTGTTATTTTGGCTGCTGTCATAGAGACCTAGAAAAGTGGCTTAAACCCTTGGGAAGCATTTTTCTGTCTCTCACAGCAGTCTGGGTTAAGGCGTCCAGAGTAGCATGGCCCCTCTGCGGTTCTAGAGACTCAGTTCTACCTGTCTTGTAGCTCTGTCCTTCCTGGTTTCTTGCTAGGGCCTGCATGGTCCAAGATGGCACACTGTTGTACCTTTTTTCTTGCCATTGGTAGCAGGGAAAGGGGAATCTGGGGGCAATCTCCTTTCCTTTAAGGTTGAGTTTCTCTACCTCAGCACTATTCACATTTAGGAGTGGATACTTTTTTGTGTTGAGGGTTTACCTGTACATTATGAGATGTTTAGCAGCATCCCTGGACTCTAACCCAGTAGATGCCAGTAGCACCCCTCAGTTGTGACAACTAAAAATGTCCCCAGATATTGCCAAATGTCCCCTGGGGGCAAAGTCATCCCCAGTTGAGAACCATTGCCTTAGAAGTTGCCCACAGCACTTCTGCTCACATCCCACTAAGAGTGTGAACTTCATTACTCATCCATCCAATGATAAAGGAGTCTTGGAGGTTTGTATCTTTCAGGTGGGCAGGTGTCTAGCTGAAAGTTGACTAAAAAGGAAACTAACGTTTTCTTCATACCCTTGTTGCTTACAGGGAATGGAAATTCTGTAGTTAACTGAGGAGGTATCTTTGTTCTGTTTATCTTCCAGAGTTTTAATCATTATTCATTTTAACTCATGTGAAATTACTGGAAGTGGAGAACACTAAGCACCTAAAAGGTGAAGATTCTATTTGGAAAGGATGATCATTATTACTCCAGTGGGTGATGAGGGAAAGAAACTAAGGGGATGGGGGGCTGTGTGGAAAAATGGATGTTGGATTATTACTTGTGTTTTGGCGCCACCTGATGGAAGTCTATAAATACTGCCATTCTTTATCCTCTGCTATTTTCTTTCATTCATTTGTTCCAGGCTTAAATTTTAAATGATAAATAAGCATTAAATGGATTACAGCAAAAATGTAAAAGAAGCCTATCACATGAGGAGCTCTTTAAAGTATGATTTGTCATCTTTCACATTTGGGTTAGTGAGTTTTTTGTCACTGCGACAAAATATCTGAGAATATTAACTTAGAGGAGGAAAGATTTATTTTGCTCACAATTTTGCAAGTTTTCTGGGTCTTTAGTGAGACAGAATATCATGGTGGAAGGGCATGATAGAGCAGAGTTGTTCACCTTATGGCAGTGCAGCAGAGAAGCAGAGGGAGAGAGAGAGGAAGGGACCAGAGGACAAGATCTAGTCCCTGAGGGGATTCCCCAAGGAACCCCTCACTCCCTTCAACTAGGTTCCACCTCCTACACTTTCCACCCCTTCCTAATAGTCCATTTAGTTATGAATCCATCAATGGGTTAATTCAATTATGAGGTTAAAGTTGTCATGATCAACCACTTTAAAAAAGTTCCGCCTCTGAACTTTAGTGCACTGGAGACCAAGCCATCAACAAATGAGCCCTTGGAGGACATCTAAGATCCAAATCAAAACAAAAGTATTAACATTTGGGGCTGGTTAATTCTTCATTGTGGGGGCCACCCTGTGCATTGGAGGATATCTAGAAGCATCCCCGGCCTGCACTCACTGGTTGGCCTCCCCCATCTGTGGCAATTGAAATGTTGCTAAATATACTGCAGGTGGCAAAAGTGCCCCCAGTTGAGAACCACTCCTTTAAGCAAAGCATCTAAAATCCCATTATCTATTAAAGCCATATGCCATAGTAGACTCATGTCAATGGATCCTGGAAGTGGAGTGTTTGGGACAGTGCTGGGGAAAAATGAGGCTACAGATGCAGCAAGATGTGTCCTCTTTAATCTTTGCAGAACTCTGTTCCTGCTAATCCAACCAGAGAAGATAAGATTTATGGAGTGATGCTGAAAGGCATGGTGAGAGGAAGTCATTTCTTTAAATTCCACATTCTAGGGAAATCTACACAGGAAGCAGAATGGGATAATTCCAGACCGTGTACCTAAATTTTCCCTCAGGGATGAACAGGTGTGGATCATCCTGCCAACTGTGGAAGGCCATAGCTAATCTCTTGGGCTTTTTGGATCCCCCGCCATTTTGGGACCCATATGTTACCTGAGTGCTGTGAAGAAACAAGTTGGAAGCTAGTCCCCTTGCCCGGGTCAAGTAAGTGGTGCCACCTGCAAACAGCCCTGAATTCTTCCTTTAAAGCTGGGCAAAAGTGATTTTTCTAGGAGCACTCCCTGGCAGGTCCAGGCTCCAGGTCCCTCTCAGGTCCTTTCCTTCAATATCTCCTTGATTTCACCTTCTCTTCAAGCTCCTCCCCCACCAGTCAGACAGTCCTTTTCATCAGATGATCCCACCTGCTTATGACAAAGAAGGCTGGGCATAAATTTCATCACTTAGAAATGTGTTGCCATTTGAGTACCACACTTACCATACCTTTTGTTCCAGAGGAGGAGGCAGATCTTTGCTTCTGCCTAGGCCAATCCAATCATGTTATTCTCTGGATCTTATGCCACTTCTCACCAGCAGCTCTTTCTCTTAGTTATGCACCTGTGTCTTCTACCACCTTTCTTTTTGGATCCCTTCACCATCAGCATCGAACTTGTTCAGGTTCTTTGATCTTTAAAAAGTTTGGGTTGATACTCCCACCCCAGCTTCCATTTCTTTCTTCCAATTCTGTTTCTATTTCTCTTTTGGTTGTACTTTTGTAAAATGTTGACTACCTCTAGATTTTCACCATTTTTTCCTCTCTTCCCACTGCTGTCTCTCTTCCAGCTTGTTCATTTCAGTACAACTGTCTCCCTGACGTCACTGTGGATTTTTTTTTCTGATCTTCTATCTACTATTCTTTTTTTCTGATCTTCTATCTACTATTCTTTTTTTTTCCTGATCTTCCATCTACTATTCTTTGGCTTCTCTGC